CAAAAAAGAAGGGGGTCTAGCCTCGGGATTTGTCCCATTGTTTTTTTTTAGTGACAGAAAGCGCCCCCTGGGAAACCGGGGGGCCGGTTCTGTGGCCCTGTAGAACCTGGCTTCTCAAAGGGTGGGCCTGCCGCCCCAAGAGCCCTTGGGGGGGGGGGGGGGGAGGGGTAGGCGGCTTCTACTAGGAGAGGCTGGGGAGGAGGTGTAAGGGCCAGGCCTCTCTCCCCGCATCCCGCCCGCGGGCAAGGTCACAGCAGCCGGGGAGGCCTTCGTGGGATGAAGGGGAGCAAGTCGTATGCCCGGTCAGCAGCCCTGGGCAATGCAGCGCAGGAGTGGGCGCGGGAGCAGCAGAGGAAGGGGATGCCTCAGGCAGGGGTGCTGGCGGCGAGGGGAGGTGTGGCAGAGGGCGGGCTTGCACAGGGCGAGGTCTGTGAGGAGGAGGAGCAGAGAAGCAGCCCTCGAAGGGGGTCTGCAGGTTTGCTTTTTATGGGCAAGACATGCCAGGATGGAGTGATGGGGCCGAAGCAGTCCAGGGGAAGAACTTGACGCCTGGCATGGAGGAACGGGGGGCTGGAGGGGAGACTGCCACACTCGGGGCCCAAAGGAAGGCACCAGCCAGAAGGTCCACCCACCTTGACCTGCAAAGGACCTGCTGATAAGGACCTGACCTTGGACAGCAAAAGAGAGAGGCCCCCTTCCCTACACACCAGGCGGGGGAGGTGGGAATTTAGTCCCTGGGCTGCCCCAGCTCCACCCACTTGTAGTGTCCCATTTGTCCAGCAGGCAGCGCTGCTGGCCCCCATTACCCAGGAGAGGGACCAGGCACCAGGGCAGGCTCCGGGTCAGAGTGCTGGGCCCTGCCCAGGCATTTACTGTAGGAAAGCCCCTCATGCAGCCCCTTCCTGGGCCCGTGTCAAGTGGTTTGTGGAGACCCCACGGGGAATGAAAGCCCACACGGAGCCTGTAAAACAGCAAGTGAAGAACAGCCCACAGGTTGAGGCAACAGCTGTGTCCACGCAGGGCACTGGCGCTCCTGCCAGACCCTCTGCGCTGTGCGTGACGCCGCCCTCCGCCCTCCTGGTCACTTCTGGCTGATGTTACAGTTGAGGAACAGAGACTGGCCAAAGAACCAGGTGTGCATAGCTCAGCCCCATCCTGCGGAGCTGGTGCTGCCTGGAGGGCGGCTGCCCGAGAAAGCAAACCTGGCATTTCTCTTGGGGTGATGGGCCATAGGCTGTCCCGGCTGACTCTTGTAGGATCTTCCCTCCCCCCCGCCCCCCAGACATCTCAAGTGAGGGCTCATTTCTGAAGTGTGGTTCAGGTGCTGGGACATCGAACAACTCCGGTCCCGGCTACTCTCACCCTCGCCCTGCACGGCACCCGGAAGGTTCCTTGGAGCCCACTCGTGGGGAGCCCGAGTCCCGGGACTGGTTCTGTGGAGCACGCTCTCCAGACGGAGCACCACGCTGAGGGCTGCGGGGCCAGGCGGTCTAGAGCGCCCTCCAATTTATCCTTTCATAAACCCACGCATCTGGAGAATCCTCGTCCTAAACCTTTACCTAAAGCTGCTATATGGCAGATCAGTCTGATTAGATGGCCGTGTTGCTTAATTCTTTAAACGATTCCTGAAGAAATAACCGAGGAGCCTGAGTCAGTGTCTGCCAACTAGCGGACTGTAAAATTAACTCTGGAGTCTGGGGCTGGCATTTCAAAAGATAATTAGAACAGAGGGTGTCAGAGTGCTGGGTTCATATTAAGGGTGTGATCAACTTTTTCCTTTTTTTAATGTTTTATTGACTTTTAGATAGAGAAGGGAGAGGGAGAGAGAGAGAAACATTGATGAGAGAGAAACATTGATTGGCTGCCTCCTGTATGCTCCCTATTGGGGATCAAGCCTGCAAGCGGGGCATGTGCCCTGACTGGGAATCGAAGGGGTGACCTCTGGGTGCCTGGGTCGATGCTCCACCACTGAGCCACACCGGCAGGGGCCCAACTTTTAATGAAATAAAACTGAAGGGAAAATTCTAAGTGCACGGCTTTTATAAGGGTGACTGCTGTCTCCTGTAACACATTTCGACTCTGAAATACATGTGTGCGTACGCTAAGTCAAGATGCAAAGTATACCGTTTACTGTGTGTTGTGGTCAAAAGGTTGAGAAGTGCTGCTTTAAATGGCATAAAAACTTCTCCAATGAGAGACAGTAAGGTTTTCAAACCATTCTCACCACTGGACCGGGGGGCTCTGGAACGACGGGCCAGGCAGATCTTCTGTGACCATGACCTTAGACCCTACAGACTGAGGGTAAAGGCAAGACCCTTCTGTGACCATGACCTTAGACCCTACAGACTGAGGGTACAGGCAAGGCCAGAGTTGGCCTCAGTGTGGAGGGCATTTCAACGGCACCTGCGTGGGTTTCTGCCTGAGAGCTCATGACAGAGCGAGGCAGTGAGGCCGGGAAGCAGGACTCCCCCCCGCCCGGTCCCCCGGCCCAGCAGGTGTTAGAAACCCATTCTCCGCCGCCCACACGCACTAGCTCAGACGCACAAGTGGGAGGAGCATTTTAGGGCAAACACGGTGGCCATTGCTTCTAAAAAGGCCCCTTTCTGTGGCAGGAGCCATGGAGCCTCCGCACACCCGGCCGCGTTGGTCTGGCAGGGACAGGCTGTCCTACCTGTGATCCGGTTCTCGATCTCCCCCTGCATCTGCAGCGAGTCCACATAGATGGTCCGGTTCCCGATGAAGCGCGCGCAGGCGATGCCCCGGTACGGCTGGCAGAAGCCGTCCTCGTGGTCGTCGTCTCTGGGAAAACACACCGCGGGTAAGCGCACCGGAAGCTGCCGGGCGCCCCCGAGAATTTTCCCTTTTAAATCTGGCATCTTAGGGTCTAGCCATCTTCTTCCTTGTAATTACCCAAATGAACGGAGAGCTCACGCCACACAAACCCCGCGCCGAGGTTCACAGCCGCTTCACCCAGAACACTAAACCGTGGGAGCCTCCGAGAAGCCCTTCCGCAGGCCCATCCACACAGCGGAATATTATTCAGCGACAAAAACATGGCCTGGCGGACCTTACATGCGTATGGCAAAGTGAAAGCAGCCACTCTGAAAAGGCTGCGTCCTGGGTGCTTCCAACTACAGAACATTCTGGAAAAGGCGAAACCACGGAGACAGTAAAACCCAGTGGTTGCCAGGGACGCAGAGGCAGAGCACAGGGAATGTTTAGACAGTGCGAGTCTGTATGACACTATAATGGTGGGCAAACCCCCACAGTACAGAAAGCCAGTCTAGACTATGCACCCAGTGTACATCAGTGAGTGTGCAGGACCAGTCAGTCACACTGCATCAGCTGCTCAGCGATGGGGACAGTGAGTGTGCAGAACCAGTCAGTCACACTGCATCAGCTGCTCAGCGATGCGGACAGTGAGTGTGCTAGAACCAGTCAGTCACACTGCATCAGCTGCTCAGTGATGGGGACAGTGAGTGTGCAGGACCAGTCAGTACCACTGCATCAGCTGCTCAGCGATGCGGACAGTGAGTGTGCAGGACCAGTCAGTACCACTGCATCAGCTGCTCAGCGATGCGGACAGTGAGTGTGCTAGAACCAGTCGGTCACACTGCATCAGCTGCTCAGCGATGCGGACAGTGAGTGTGCTAGAACCAGTCAGGAACACTGCATCAGCTGCTCAGCGATGGGGACAGTGAGTGTGCAGGACCAGTCAGTCACACTGCATCAGCTGCTCAGAGATGGGGACAGTGAGTGTGCAGGACCAGTCAGTCACACTGCATCAGCTGCTCAGCGATGCGGACAGTGAGTGTGCAGGACCAGTCAGTACCACTGCATCAGCTGCTCAGCGATGGGGACAGTGAGTGTGCAGGACCAGTCAGTACCACTGCATCAGCTGCTCAGCGATGCGGACAGTGAGTGTGCAGGACCAGTCAGTACCACTGCATCAGCTGCTCAGCGATGCGGACAGTGAGTGTGCAGGACCAGTCAGTCACACTGCATCAGCTGCTCAGCGATGGGGACAGTGAGTGTGCTAGAACCAGTCAGTCACACTGCATCAGCTGCTCAGCGATGCGGACACTAGGGAGATGTCACTATTGGGGGAACTGGGTGTGCGGATGAGGGGCCACATGAGAATACTCTGTACTTTATGTTCAACTTTTCTGCAAACCTAAAACTTCTCTAAAAAAATAAAGTCTATTAACTTGATTAAAACCCCGCATCTTTAAGGGGGCAGGGTGGACTGAGTGTGAACTGGAATCTGAGAGGGAACATGTCCACGTCCACGTCCAAATACAGAGACAGTTCAACTCGAACACGTGTCATCAGAGAGCGGTGTGCACGCCCTCCCCGGACACCGAGGCCCCACAAGGCGCTTGTGAGGACGATGCTCATGGGAAGCTCCTCTACCCTTCACTGCAGAGAGGAAACTGGGAAATGGAGGAAGCCATGGGGGGATTCCAAGAAGTTTGGCCCTCACAGCATTTTCTCCAGGTGACGCACAACCTTGTCCCTGCTGTGCAGACAGCAGGCCATGTGTCTAAATGCGGGGACAGAAAGGGAAATTCCCAAAAGCCCCTCCCCCGCCATCGGGCCTTCCGAAACCCGGCCAGTCTTAAATTGTTCTCTGTAGAACGACCGTGCAGGTTGCCCCAGCTGACGAGGTCGCGCTAAGGGCACCGATGCGGTGAAAGTCGTCCTCGGATGCTCAAGGAGCCAGTGACGTGGCCACGGCCCACACAGGGGCGGCCGTTGCTGCGAGGGAAGGAGCAGGGCTGGGGCTCGAGGGCGAGCTTCACACAAGGGCTCAGGCCTGTCACTAAGTTGCTTGTTTTCAAGCAAAGCTGCCACTTGCCCCTCAGGGTAACAACACTGTCACTGCACCCCACACTGATGTCAACGACCCATGGAACCTGTGCTGTGTCCACCTTAACCGGCGGGCTCTCTCAGGGTGGAGCTGGACGCTTGCAGCAGCGGAGACAGGGAGTGACGGGCACCTTTTCCCAGGGCCTCTGCTCCAGTGATTCTCCCTTCTGCTGCCTTCTCTGTCCCCGAAGAAAATATTCCAAAGAAAACTATCTGGAGCCAAAAATCACCGAGGTCAGGAGATTCTTGTTGACCCCAGAAACAGGAGGCAGGAGCCCGCCGTCCAGTTCACGACCATCACTGCTGTGGGTCAAGGGTTCCTTAACTACAGCTCACATAGGCGAGCGCGTGTGCTAACACACACCCAGAGCCGCCACGGCCAGGCACACCCACACAGGGCCGCCAACTCTGCCGGCAGGTGCGCTAGGCATCGGTGTGCGGGTTGGGTGCAGGGCACATGCCTGCTCTACCGGGAAAATCCTGAAGAGGTTTGTCACCTACACCCAGGGTACGGGATTCCATCCAGTCAGTCCCATGGGGCATCCCAGGAAGACTGACAACTTCTCTCTGCTTCAAGAGTCAAGGAATGGAAACCTATTCCCTCACTGTGGGCCCCTCCCTGGGTGGGCTCCTCCCTGGGTGGGCTCCTCCCTGGATGGGCCCCTCCCTGGCTGCTGCTCAGGTGCCCCCAGGATGGAAAATGCAAAGGGGGGCAGGGCAGACAGGCTGAAAAGGGACTCAAGGCTGGTCCACAGCTTACTCATCCAAGTGGGCTTCCAATCTGAGTTTTAGAAAATGTCCAAAACATAAAGAATAGTTGGAAAATGAGATCCTTCAGGTTATTACATTTTAAGAAAACAAGTGGGAATTACTTGACATTTTCACATGGAATTATGCTTTCTCTTTACCAGGCGCACCTGGGAACTCTGGGAGGTGAGAGCTGAAGAGCATCTGTGAGACCAGTCCCTCGGGAGCCACAGAAAAGCTCTGGGCAGAGCGCCATCGATCAGTCCGTCAGCCACAGGGGACACGCTCACCAACTCCAGAACAACAAGCTACGAGACCAGGTCTGGAAATCTACACGCCCAAGGCACTGACCCAGGGTCTACTGACAGGTGAGGAAGAAACGCAACATCAGTTCATAGTCACGGAGGAGGAAAGCTACCAGGTGGTGCAGGACACAGCCACAGGAGAGGAGGAGGGTGCCGGACAGAGGCAAGGCCACCGGGTGTGACAGGATGTCCTTCAGGAGGGACCGAGGACATGGCGGGCTGACTGCCAACCGCCTCCCCAGCTTGTGCATGTTAAACATAAAAGTTAGTTTCAAGAAAAGCTTAGAAAACTCATGGATATCAATAATGAATGACCCTTAAAGGAAAGTAAGGTTCCTTTGAGGTTGAAAAGTACTCAGTGTCAAAATTCAGATGTAGTTACACATTGTGTCGGAAGTTAACATTCCCCCCTCATTATTTTTGTTAAAAGTGGTAAAACCATTTCATAATCGTTGTTCTTGTGAAAGGGTATGTCTAAGGTAGATGAATGACGAGAGGAAGCCATAGTTGAGATGAGTTGGAGGGTGTGGGTGTGGGTGCGGGTGCAGGGATGGGTGCGGGTGCGGGTGCGGGTGTGGGTGTGGGTGCGGGGATGGGTGCGGGTGCGGGTGCAGGTGCGGGTGTGGGTGACGGTGTGGGTGTGGGTGCGGGTGTGGGTGGAGGCACAGCAAAAGCACAGAGAACAAACGAAAATAAATCACTCTGACCAAGTCTGAAGCTAAACTCCATCAGCTGCAGGTGACCTGACCGTAATCTAATAGGCTGCTAGAGCAAAACACTCTTCAGAGGAAGGTGAAATCTAGAGTATAAACCACAATGTCCTGTATACGATAAGAAATTACCAGACACATGAAAAAACAGCAAAACGTAACCCATGGCCAAGAGAAATCAACCCAAAGATGACGGGGATGTCAGGCTCCGCAGACCAGACTTCAGGGAACTGCAGGTACAGAAAACAATGTGGGTAAAGGTGAGTTGTGGGGAGACGGAAACTGTGAACGAAGCAGAGGCAAGACATGAAAAACATCTCCAATAAAACATGGTGTTCACAACAGAGTGGAGAAGATAGAAAAAAAGCAGTAACGTGACAGGTCAACAGACAATTTCCAAACTGAAACTAAGAGACAGTAAGATTTACAGAAAATGCGCAGAGCCCGGCGAGCTGTGGGAAAACAGGGGTCTGACCTCTGTGCACTCAGACCCCAGCGAGAGGAGAGGAAAGGTGCGAGCAGGAAACAGAGTGAAGAAGTCATGGCCAAACGTCTTTCCAAATCGGGTGAAAACAGTCACACACTGGCCAGGGAACGCCAGCGAAAAGCAAGCAAGATCCATACAGAGAAAACCACACTGACCCACATCACAGCCGACTTGCTGAAACAGGATAAATGGAAACAGGGGACATGACAAATGGTGGAACAGTGAAAACAGAAGACCAGGAATGACCGCTGCCCTGCACTCAGAGAAAATACACCGTGAGCTGGAATTCCATCATCAGCACAAACACCTTTCAAAGGAAAGGGTCTCACCAAAAAGACGTACACGTGAATGCAACTCACATCGGAGCTGACACATAAGCAAGGACAGACAGAACTAGAGGACAACTCAGAAACACCCACAATTACAGCCGGAAATTTAACACTTGCCTCTCAGCAATGAATTCAATTAGGGAAAAAATTAGTGAAGAGTAAATGGGGGAAACAGTCCCCACCCCCAGAGCGACAGGAGGTTTGCAGGACAGCACACCAACGGGCACACCCATTTCAGTGCAGCGGCACCCGCACCCAGAAGGACCACTGCTCACACTCACCCAGAAGGACCACATGCTCACACTCACCCAGAAAGGCCACTGCTCACACTCACCCAGAAGGACCACATGCT